CTGATTTTATAAATGGAGCCTGATTTTATAAATTGGAGTCTGATTTTATAAATTGGAGCCTGATTTTATAAATTGGAGTCTGATTTTATAAATGGAGCCTGATTTTATAAATTGGAGTCTGATTTTATAAATTGGAGCCTGATTTTATAAATTGGAGTCTGATTTTATAAATGGAGTCTGATTTTATAAATGGAGCCTGATTTTATAATTGGAGCCTGATTTTATAAATGGAGCCTGATTTTATAATTGGAGTCTGATTTTATAAATGGAGCCTGATTTTATAAATGGAGCCTGATTTTTTATGGTATTTAAATTACATGATTTTGAAGTAAATGTACTGTAAAGTCTGAACACATTAGTTTTCGCACATTTTATGTATGTACAATTGTTGGGGTTGGGGGAGGGGGGAGGGGGAGTCTGAAAACAAACTTAGCAGATAAATTCAATATAACGTTTCTTATATAATTAGTTGTATGTAGAGTTTTGATATTCTATAGTATTTAGTCTCTTTCTACAGTCTGTTTATAAATAGACTAAATTACTAAGTATTACATATAAATAGGCTGTGAATTTAATGTTAAACTAAACGAATGGAGAACATGTTATCTTGATGTTCTGTTATTCTATTATTAATCGGGTACGATGATTATGTATAGGCTAATAATATTAATAATAATCATCATTTTTATCTTTACTTTTTTTTTTTACAAAACAGATTGGCATACAACTCAGCTCGACTTTAAGAGGGGCTTAGACTTACACAGAATACAAAACACACAAAAACATTCATTCTTTAAACCATCTATATTAATAAATATAGATTAAACACGGGATAAAAAAATAAAACGTATCATAATAAATTATAGTTATCAAATAAATTATTTTTTGTTTTTGACAACGTTTTTGAGTATTGTCTCAAATAATTATTAAATGCTATAAACATGGGGGGTGATTAAAAAATATATTTTTGTCTGCTAAAACTAAATGTTTAAAAAAGCGTTCCGAGGCGACGCCACGTGTTATTGCTGCGCCGCTGCGCATGCGCGCTGTGTCCGGCCCGGTGTGCGTGAACGATGGCGGCGTATGTGCAGATACTGAAGAACGAGTTCCCCCAGATCGACTGCGAGCTCTTCGATTATATCACTGGTACTGTACACACATGTGGCATTAATATACCTGTGTTACACCTTACGCGCGCTGGTAGTGACAGCAGTGCATTCATCACATCAGAGAGCTGTGCTGGTGTGTGCTCATGCTAACAGACTGTGTTCATATCAATCTGACATTATCCTCGAAATCATTTTAATGAGTTAAAAATCCAATCATAATTTCAGTATATGTTCATATCTGTGAAATCAAGCAGCTGCAGTGAATTTTCATGTTTCCAGCCAGCCAGATATGATTCACTGTCG